TGAAGACAAGAGTCTTTTTTAATTTATGTTTTCATTAAATCACTCCTCCTGTAGATAATGACCTTATTGTCTAAAATGCCCATGATATCTCTAAGGTCTAATCCATTGTTGCTATTTTCCCCAAGTTGGTATTGTTGTGGATTGCTTTAATGAAAGTCTGAAGTTAAGGATGATCTGGTATTTTCTAAAGCCTTTATTTGTGGTTTCATAATTGTTGGAGGGCCATAACATTTCTGTTGCTGTTGGAATTTTGATGCAAAGTGCATTGCCTTTATGTGTTATCCCCGTAAAGTACAAAACCTTTTTCAAAATAGATGTGTGATTTTGCTGCTGCTTTGATGCTACTGCTACTGCCACTGTTGAGTTTGTTGTTTTATTCATTTATGATGTGTATGAGTTTGTTGTTTTAGGTGATTTTTACAAGATTTTGGCTGTTATATATGAAAAAAAATATATATTTCACTTCTGTTTTATACATTTATGATGTATATTCGTTTGGTGTATTGTACCCTACAAATGTAGGTACCCTACAAATGTAGGGGCATTCATTTTTTCATCTCGCCCCGAGCATGAAATACCAATGGACCAGCCCTGTGACGAATCATTTATTGGATTTGTGATCGGATCCTCAAAGTGGAAGTTTGGTGGGTTCTGTGGATCGTCTTCAGGGACAAAATCAAGAGAGCACTTACTACGGTCGATATGACTGAAGAATGGGGTAGTTTCAAAGAAGGTTACATCAGCACAAATGAGATGTCGTCCAAGATCAGGAGAGAAACATTTGTAACCTTTTTGTGTTCGAGAATAACCCAAGAAGATACATTTGAGAGATTTTGCGTGTAGTTTATCTTTTTCGGGTGTGAGATCATGGACAAAACATGTGCAACCAAAGACACGAGGTGGAAGGGAAAACATTGGTTGAGTAGGAAATAATAAAGAATGAGGGATTTGATTTTTTAACACTGAAGAAGGCATGCGATTAATTAGGTAGCATGCTGTGAGAACGGCATCTCCCCAAAAATACAGCGGAACATTGTTATGAAGGAGAGTGCGTGTTGTTTCGATCAGGTGTCTGATTTTCCGTTCAGCCACTCCATTTTGTTGTGGGGTATGCGCACATGAGGATTGATGAAGCATACCCTCGGAGGTCATGAATGATTGAAAAGGAGTTGAAAAGTACTCTTTTGCATTGTCACTGCATAGGATACGTATTGGAATACCTAATTGAGTTTTAATTTCAGAACAAAAAGACTTCAAGATAGAAAATAATTCATATCTATTTTTCATTAAGAATAACCAGGTACACCTTGAGTAATCATCAATGAAGGTGACAAAATAATTAAAACCCAAATGTGATGTAACACGACTAGGACCCCACACATTTGAATGAACTAAAGAAAAAGGAGATTCAGACTGTTTATTGACTCGACTAGGAAATGAATTACGAGTATGCTTTCCCAACTGACAAGAATCACACTCTAATGAAGACAACTTTGCAAGACTGGGTATCAATTTTTGTAACTTTGAAAGGCTAGGATGTCCCAAACGATGATGAATAATGGCAGGAGAATCAGTTGCAATACATGCTATGGGTGAAGATGGTGGTGTGAGGTAGTATAGCCCATGGTACTCACATCCTACACCAATCGTCCTCCCAGTGTTTCGATCCTGCACAAGAAACAAATCATCCAAAAATGTAACTTTATATGGTGGGGTTTTAGCTAGTTTACTAACAGAAATAAGGTTGAATGGACAACCAGGTACAAAAAAGGACATCAAGAGATGATGAAGGCACAGGTTGGGCTTGTCCAATGCCCGTAGCTTTAGTCTGTGAGCCATTAAACATGGTAATCTGGGACAATGTATTTGAGTATGTAATGTTAGAGAATAAATTTGTGTTACCAGACACATGTTCAGTAGCACCTGAATCAATCACCCAATGACCCATTGGGGATAATTGAGATATGCAAGCAATGGGAGATTGTTTATCTTCTCGTAGTTTCAGGAGTTCTTCATAATCAGCAGCAGAGATAGACACATTGCCTGGCATGGTTCCCTCATGTGAAACACTAGCTATCTTAGGTGGCTTAAGCTGAAAGCATCGGTCAACTGTATGACCAATATTATTGCAGTGACTACATCGGGGCCGGTTTCTATTCCCTCGACCACGGTTGCCTCCCTCCTTAGTGTAACATCCGGATTTCCAGAGACATGATGGTGTATGTTAATCTTGAGATTTGAGGAGGGACTCGACGAGTAGAGGAACCGAATCGCCGAGTCGAGTCGAGATTTCCGCGTGGTTTTAATGAATGGACTCGACGAGTCAGAGGAGGGACTCGCCGAGTAGGTGCTGGGCAGAGAAACCCTAATTTCCCGGGTTTGAGACCTATTTAAAGGAACTTATAGCCTCATTTGTGGCTACCCTTCCTTGAGAGCAAACCCTAAACGGGTATGGAGAGCCATGAGAGTCTTAGAAGCTAAAACTTGGAGTAAACTAGTGCATCTCTTGAGGAGAAGAGGAGATCACCCATCAAGGGAGCTAGAGAATCAGTGGATCTGGTGTAACTTCGTGCAAGGGCTTGAGTAAGAGGTAAAAGCTTGCACCTTTCTTGTTATTTAGCTTAGATCTTGTAGATATGGAAGATTAGGGTTTCTTCCACCATTATTGGGACTTTGTATGCATAAGGTCTCTCATGAGGCCTAGGCTTCAGATCTGGACCTTGTGAGGTCCAGAGAGTCCAAAGATTATAGCTTTAGTTAACCATAGAAGGGTTATTGTGGTTAATCATCCTTGTTAGAGTTATATTGGCATTATGAGCTTTATATGCCATGTTTAAACGTAAAGCTTGCAGCTTTACGTGACAATCGACCCTCAGGATGGTAGATCTAGTGTTTGGGGTGATGGATCTGCCTTAAATCGTCTGAATGAGCAATTAGTCTGAATGAACTCGCCGAGTCGATGAGCCGACTCGACGAGTTGGTTAGGGTTTGTCCCGAGGAACCGAATCAGGCGATAGCTCGACGAGTTGGGGGTCAACTTGACGAGCTGAGCTGGACTGTCACGAGATTTCTGAGGAAAGTAGGTGGACTCGACGAGTCGTAAGGGTGCACTCGGCGAGTCGGGTCAAACATGGACTGTTGACTCGAGTTTGACTTCTGTTGACTTTGGGGCTTTGATCAACATAAGTAATAGAGACCATGGAGGGGTAAAATGGTCTTTTACCCACTTCACAGAGTGAAAGAGAGGAAGAATAGCCTTCGGTCATTAGAGTTGTGATTAGAGTATCACTTAGAGATATTCATCCCTTGTGTAGGTGGAGGCTAGTTCGAGATTCATGAGCGGGGTCTTTACTTGCTGCTCGTCAGATGAGTCTTCTCACTATACTTTACCTTGAGTGGTAGTTAGAGTTATGTGACAGAGTATCTTGTATGCTATGTATGTGATGTGTTGCACTGCATTATTTCTATGTGATTTATGTTGTGTGTATTCCAGAGTTGGGACCGGAAGGTCCACACTGTTAGGACCAGAGGGTCCACAGAGTTTGGGCCAGAGGGCCCACAGAGTTATAGCCTCGAGTGGCTAATATGTGTTATATGTGGTATTTTGGGGAACTCACTAAGCTTTGTGCTTACAGTGTTATGTGTTATGTGTTTCAGGTTTTCTCAGGATCGCGGGACGGCACCGGCTTGATTGTACACACCAGAGAAAGAGTCATGTTTTGAGGATCCTGGCTTATTAATGGAGTTGTGTTTTGCAATTTGAATAAACAAGATTTCTATACAATATGTTACGAAAAGTATGCGATTTTAAAATGAAAATTTTGTTTGAAAAATTACGGTGTTACACTTAGATGCAACAAGAATTGCAGAATCAGTGATGCTGGAGCCAGTAGTGATGTTTGTTGGTGCTGAAATATGAACTAGCTGCTCAAAAACATTATCAAAATTTAGAATCCCGGGAGTAGCTAAGATTTGGTTACGAACAGACTCAAGATCTGGACGTAACCCTGCAAGTGCAAGAACCACAAAGAATTTTCCATGTTGCTCTTCTTGCAATTCGAGATTGGTAGAGGATGGCATCAGCTCATCGAACTCTTGTCGTATAGTCTCTATATTCCCAAGATTGGTCTGCATATCCTGTTCTTGTTGCATGATTTTCTTCATATTAGAGACCAATGTGTATAAACGATTGATATCATTCGAGTAAAGTTTCTTTGCTTTCTGCCAAACCTCGTAGCAAGAGCGATACGATCGGTATTGAGCAACAATCGTCCGATCTATAGGATTCCAGAGGGCATTACAAAGGAAGGCGTCAATCAGCTTCCACTTGGGTTGGTCTTTGACATCAATGTTGTTCAGTTGCTTTGTCAAGTGATCATCAAGACCTTGACCAATAAACCATAACTCCACAGTAGATGACCAGGTCATATAATTATAAGAACATGTCAATTTTTCAGCAGAGAGAACCGGAGAGGAAGAAAGATTGAACATATTGTTTGTTCCGGACATTGTTTTAACAAAACAGAATAAAAGAAATGCCTGTAACAGGAGTATGATAACCGAAAATAACTTATCAGCAAAGACGAAAGGATTTGGAGTATATGGTGACCGGGGTCTGGTAAGAAACACAAAAACCCTAGAGGCCTGAAAAGAAAAAAGAAACACAGCAGGAATAATAACACCGCTCTGATACCAGAAGAAGATTGTGATCTGTATTTCACACAGAATAAAGAAGTATAGGGCCTTAATTTATACTAGAGCCTATCTCATTAATCTAGGCAACTATTTAAACATGGAAATTATACACCTTGATTTACTCCTAATTGACAGCCTAATACACAACTAATTTACAGTTAATTTTCAACAAAAACCATGAAAAAGGATATGTTACAAGTCATATATGATTGATGGTTGAAGCTAGATAAGGTATTGGGCCACTTACCCACCCACCTCATTAACCTTTCATCTTCAGATGACTTCTTAAACCAATAATAATGTTGTTAATTAAGTAACGACGAAAGAACATTACCTTCCATTGGTATTGTTCCATTGAAACCATTATCTCTCAAGAAGAGGACTTCCAAATCAGGCAAAGTAAAGATTTCTGAATTACAGAGACGTATCAATCAGTTTGATAAAACAATTAGCAAAAATGGAAACTAATAAATAATATTTGTATTGGATTTCTTTATTGATGACTCTTTTAAGATAAACATGCCTTGGACAGGAAAGGAACTTCCCCATGAAAAAGAAGATGTAAGATCAAGAATCTTGAGGGATGGGAAGGCACTTAGGCATGATATGATGCTGTTGTTGAAATTGTTTCCAGAAAGATTTATACTCTTCAGCCTTTTCAATTTCGATAGGGTCTTACAAGCTGCAAAATTAAAGGAAGGTAAATCTTAGAGAAACCATGCATGGTCTTGTAAAGTTTGTAATTATGAAAGAAATTAGGATTCATTAACATTCAGGAACCTCATCACTATTCACAAGTTAACATACCATGGCTAGGATAAGCTCTAACAGGCTGTAGAAAAGAGAATTCATTTACCTTGGATATTTGGTGCGCCGTTGAGCCCTGTTTCACTTAAATCCAGCTCCTCCAGGTTAGTGAGATGTGATAATTCTGTAATACGAAAGAAAAACACATATCATGTATTATGCATGTTATTTTCAGATGTACAATTTTGAATATAGTTTGGAGCATTATATGTTCATTAGTCTTTCTACACCACTCTAAACAGGTAGCCTTAGAGTATAATATCGGTCCAACAAAATATGCCAATTCTCTTATTTAGGTGTATCTCACTTCTTCCTCAAAACCCTAAATCCCTAAACCAAAATTAAAAATCAGATCCCTTCACCAAAATCATCACCGACTCCTGTACTAAATCAAATAAACTATAATCATTGCACGTACCTTGAGCTGGAAATGATCCCGACATTTGATTGTAGCTAAGATCCAAGTTTGTAAGCGATGAAAGGATACTTAGAGATGTTATAACGCTTTCATTAAATCCGTTGTAAGCAAGATTTAGAGTTTTCAACTTCCTCAAATATGACAACCCTCTCAGAACCTACATTTAGACATTGAAGTAGTGAATTTGTAAGCTTTAGTTTGATAAGACAAATCAGGTTAGGAGAACATACACAAGTATATATTCATATCTAATTTTAATAATGTTTAGCTTTCAAGTATCAAGTCCTCACTGCAAATTTTCTTTGTCCCAAGAAAAGAAACGGGTCATATTTCAAACTTCAACACATGAAAGAGTCCTCTGCTATGTATGGTCTCGTAATGTTGCAAAAAGGAAATTTGTGTATAAATTCAAAGCGACTATATTGGCATGATGGTTTTATGATGATACTGATTACCTGGAATCTCAAAGGTATCATCGAAGCCACAGTAGCTTAGATCCAACGTCTCCAAGTTCTCTAAAGCAGCAAATTCTGAAATTCATTTGAAAAGGGTGTAAGTATCTTTGAAACAGACATTTGTGCATGATAACTTAAAAGAAGGCATGAAAAGACGAAAACATGCCACTGCTAGGGAACTATCATTCAGGCTAATGTGACTAATATCTCCAACTCTAACACCTTTTTTTACAAATTGTATCTAGTTAAACCGACGATTACAACCATTACTCCATTAGAAGTTCACACCAACAATTTACATTTAAATATTATAAATATACACCAAGTCCAGCATGATACTAGACTAACAACCCCAAATTAACATGTTTCCTTGGAAAAAGATCAAGAACCAGATGCCAACCAAACTCCAATCGGCTCCCAATATTTGGAACCGGGCCAATCCTCAGTGAGATTGGTTTGTGTCCGGACTGGCTCCAAGTACTCGGTCCTGATGTCACCCCTACTTTAGCACAGCCCATTAGGATTTCTACGTAGCCTATATTTTCATATTTTTCCAATTGCATATATGCATTTAAATTTTTTTCCCTTAGATGCAGTTAGAAGTAACAAATTTATATATGAATGTAAATACGTTTTATGATGTTAAGTTTAAAATGTGACTGAATTTCAAGAACTACGCATTTTCAAAATGTGTCTTCCTTTTGTGATGTCAATTTTTGTAGTGAATGTGATTACCACATACCAAATTTTTTTAGTGTAACTATTTTTGTGACGCCAAGTTATGGAAAAGTAACTGCTTATTTGACATCAAAAACATAAAACATTATATTTTATTTTACAAGTTTCATAAAGTATATACAACTGAAAAAGCTAGAAAGATAGATATATGTAATTGTTAATAGAAAATATAAGTATAGGATGCAGGAATGTTTTACTATCAAATTGCACATTCAATATGTTTAATCAACATCCACTTTGGTGTTTTTTAAATGTAAATTTAATAGATAATAGAACTAGTGATATTAATATATTATAAACATCTACCCAAGACCATGAAAAATTATTTCATAGGCAATTATGTATCGATCAATATCAATATCAATACCCATGTATCATAAGAATCAGGTAAATGGAAGGTAAGATGCAGGCAACCCCTGCCTAAGGATAGAAGGACTACTTCCATAGATGACCACTGGCATAAATAACAGGCACGACCCCACACCAGATGATCTCCTTGGACCATAAGATAATATTTCTGTCTTCTGTTAGATAAAAAATGATATCTACAATTACATATACATTGAGACATGTATACTAAATTTCTTGGACTTTGTCCCTCTTTCTGCAGGAATTTTCATATCAGTACCACAAACACTCTATAAATATAGGTTCTCATGCATCGTACCAAATTGGAAACAAGATAAAATCAATTAAGTTCATATGGTCTACAAATGATACCCCGACAACTTTGGAAAGAGCTATATACAGGAATAGCACATACCTCGAGCTGGAAATGGTCCTGACATTAGACTGTTGCTAAGATCCAAGCTTGTAAGCGATGAAAGGGTATTTAAAGATGTTACAACGCTTTCATTAAATCTGTTGCCCGCAAGATTTAAAGTTTTCAACTTCTTCAATACGAAAACCCTCTCAGAACCTACATTTAGGAGTTGTAGCAGTTGAATTTATAAGCTCTAGGTTGATAGAACAACAAAGCTGTTTAGGAGTATATATATATATATATATATATATATATATATATATATATATATATATATATATATATATATATATCTATTTTTCTAATATTGTTATGCTTCCCTTACAAGAATTATTATCATATCTGACGAAGTGACTTGATTGTAGTGTATTGTAGTAGTTACTATCACTAATACAGATATTATATTGGCATGATGGTTTTATGATGATACTGATTACCTGGAATCTCAAAGGTACCATTGAAGCCACAGTAGCTTGTTGGGGTTGAAACACACTTTTATTCAGAACTAGAACAAAAGAGAAGAGCTTACACACTCAATATTACAAGAAAAAGAAACAACCCTCTAATACTCACTCTAAGTATTACACACTACACTCTCTGTTTGTGGTATCTTATAACTGATATTACAACTTCTATTTATACTAAAGCTAGCCACTATAAGTACTGTGACAATTTATTGTGTTCATTGTGTGAAATAAAGAAGCTGTCAATTCTAGTTGTTGTTGTCAACAAAGGAGGCATTCATTTGTCAACAAAAGAGGGTGGTGCGGCTACTCATGGCAGGTTCACACCCAAGTAGGTTTACACTCACATTCTCCCCCTTAAACCTAACTTGGCTCGAGATTCGTCACTCCGATCATGTTTCGCATTTCACCATGTTTCACGTATGCTAAAGCCTTTATAAAGATGTCCGCCCGTTGATCCTTCGAGTTGACATATTCCACTATAATTTGCCCACGTTCAACACATTCTCGTATGAAGTGATAACGAATGTCAATGTGTTTGCTTCGACCATGAAACACAGGATTTTTCATCAATGCGATTGCTGACTTGTTATCGACATATAAGGTGATAGGCATAATATGATGTCCCGTGAGCTCCTTCACGAGATTAGCAAGCCAAATGGCTTGACATGCTGCTGTTGTAGCTGCCATGAACTCGGCTTCACACGTGGACAAAGCAACAGTCTTTTGCTTTTGGGATTGCCAAGTTATCGCATTCCTTCCCAGATAGAAAATCATTCCACTTGTGCTCTTGCTATCAACAGGGTCACCTCCAAGATCACTATCGGTAAAACCAACCAAATCTTCAATTTCACGACCTTTTCCATAGTTGATTCCATAATCAACAGTTCCTTTTACGTATCGCAAGATGTGTTTCACAACTTGGAAATGCAAAGTGGTTGGTTCCTCCATGAAACGACTTGCAATTCCAACCGAAAATGACAGGTCTGGTCGAGTGTGAGTCAAGTACCTCAAACAACCTACCACTCGCCTATATTCAGTTGGATCAACTTTTTCACCATCTTCATCCTTCTTAACCTTCAACTTAGGTTCCATTGGTGACGTTGTCGGATTGCAATCCAGCAACCCAAATTGCTCTAAAATCTTCTTTGCATAAGCCGTTTGTCGCAAAGATATTCCCCACTTCTTTTGCGAAACTTCGATTCCAAGGTAGTAAGAAAGTAATCCCAAGTCACTCATTTCGAATTCTTTCTTCATTTGTTCTTTGAATTCGACAACATCATTAGTGTTCGACCCGGTAATGATCAAGTCATCAACATAGACACCATCAATAAGAATTTTGTCTTTTGAGTTCCTTTTGTAAACAGCTGGGTCTTGTGAACTTTTTGTAAAACCAAGCCTTTTTAAGCTTTTATCCAAACGAATGTTCCAAGCTCGAGGAGCTTGTCGTAGACCATAAAGAGCTTTATGAAGCTTGAACACCTTGTGACTGTTTGCTTTATCAACATATCCTTCTGGTTGGGTGACATAAACCTCCTCTTTGATATCTCCATTGAGAAATGCCGATTTGACATCGAGATGGTGGACAACCCACCCATGTTGAGCTGCTAAGGCAAGAATGAGCCTTACGGTGTCAAGTCATGCTACCGGTGCAAAAACTTCATCAAAGTCGACTCCTTCCTTTTGTACAAATCCTTTTGCTACAAGTCGAGCTTTATGCTTCACCACTTTTCCCAAGTTGTCTTTCTTCACTTTAAACACCCATTTCAAACCGATTGCTTTGTGTCCGGGTGGCAAATCGGTAAGTTTCCATGTCTTGTTCTTCTCGATTGCATCCAACTCTGTTTGCATAGCCTCCTGCCATGCCTTAGAGGTTACCGCCTCTTTAAAATTCAAGGGTTGATCCGCTGCAATCATCAACAATTCTCCAGGTTCAAGGAACACATTTTCGGTTTCAGAATAAATATCGGTTAACGGACGCAATCCCCTTGGCCCAATCTCACTAGAAGGGCTTTCCATATGAGGCGAGGTTGAAGAAAATGGGGCTGAGACAGGAGTATGTGGAGCTGGTTCAGGCTCGTCAAATTCAGCATATGGTTGTCCAACTTGGATAGCATCGATTCCTGGACTGTTTGGTTGTTCCAGATTGATTTCGGGGTCATTTTGAGGTGTTTCGAGGTGTATTTGGGGTTGTGGTTCAATTATGTTAAAGGTCTTAGGAGTCGCCATCTCTTCTTCTTTGTTTTTGTACCAATTCCATTCTTCTTTTTCGTCAAAAACAACATCGCGACTAACTCGCAACTTTCGGTCTTGCGGATCAAACAAACGATTGCCTTTAGTTCCATCTTCCACACCTAAATACACCATCTTCTTACTTTGATCATCAAGCTTCTTCAAGTGACCACCTACAAGTTTAGCAAAAGAAACACAACCAAAAACTTTTAGATGTTCAAGGTTGGGCTTTTTGCCAAACCACGTTTCATAAGGCGTCTTGTCGGGAAGTACTTTTGTTGGCAGGCGGTTGAGAAGATAAACTGCATGTCTAACCGCTTCTCCCCAAAACTCTCCCGGAAAATTTCTACCTTTGAGCAGACTTCTTGCCATGTCCATAACGGTCCGATTTCGCCTTTCTACAACTCCGTTCTGTTGAGGCGAATATGGTGTCGTAAGATGCCTTTGAATACCATTTTCTTCACAAAATAATGAGAATTCTTTTGAAGTGAACTCTCCCCCTCGGTCCGTTCGAAGTGTCTTTATTTTATAACCCGAATTCTTTTTAACCATCAACTTGAGCCGTTTGAAAGCGCTCAAGGCTTGAGACTTCTCCGATAGCATGTAAACCCACATCCACCGGCTAAAATCGTCTACTAAAAGGAGAAAATATTTACTCCCTCCAACAGACGTAGGTGTGATCGGACCACATAAGTCCGCATGAACAAGTTGTAGAGGTTTTTGAGCCCGAAAAACTGCATGATCCGGGAAAGGAATTCGGGTTTGTTTGGAAAGAACGCACCCTTCACATACTTGGTTTGGGTGCTCAATCTTTGGGACTCCGATTGCCATATTCTTTTCGGACAACTTCTTTAAGGCGAGAAAGTTAACATGACCGAGTCTAGAATGCCATATCCAAGCTGGTTCGTCTTTTGTTGCTAAAAGACAAGTCGGTCTACCGGTCCTTAAAGGAGTTTTATATAACCGGTTTGGGGATCGTTTAACTCTCAAAAGTAGAGTTTTGTTTCTGTCAAACAATGTCAGATCCGACCCATCCATTATGACCCGACTCCCTTCCTCCGTCATTTTTCCAAGACTAATAATATTGTTTTTTAGACTTGGAATGAAATATACCTCATTAAGGAGTCTTTGGTCGCCATTTTTGCTATCGAATAAAATCGACCCTTTCCCAAAATAGCGACGGTCGAACCATCCCCAAATTTCACATGGCCCGTAACGTGCTCATCTAGTTCGCGAAACTTTGAGCGGTCTCCAGTCATGTGATTGCTAGCACCGTTGTCGAGATACCATACCTCAGACTCGATTCGACTTTCTCCCGATGCAAGAAGATTAACACAAATCTTCTCTCTTAGAGACACTTTTTTGTGTGCATATTCTTGTGAGGTTTCCATCATTAAAATAGGCTCTTCTTCATTGGCTTGAGTGAGGTTTGCCTCCTCACCTCGATTCTTGTTTGGACACTCCGAAGCATAATGACCAAATTGTTCACAAGTAAAGCATTTGATTTTACTTTTATCCTTTCGAGAAGGATTATGGTCATTCCGATTTGTATTGTACTCGCGTCCACCTCCTTGGCCACGTCCACGACCTCGGCCTCGTCCCCGGCCTCGTTACCATGTCCTCCTCGTCCTCTTGAAGTGTTTGACGAGTTTCTCTCGCCAGTTTGCTTCGAACGAGATGCCCACTCGGCATGTGTAAGCAATAGAGAAGGTCCTTCTTCTTTTTCTCCATAGCTTCGAAGTCTCTCTTCATGGGTCTTAAGACGACCCACAACTTCTTCCACCGTTATATTCTTCAAATCTCCGAATTGCTCGATCGATGTTACGATTTGTATAAATCGTATCGGTACAGCTCGCAAAAACTTCTTCACAACCTTAATTTCTTCAATCTTTTCACCTAGAGATCGAATACCAGTTACGATAGTATTCAATCTCATGGAAAAATCATCTACCGATTCACTGTCTTTCATCCGGATCATCTCGAAGTCACTTCTCAAGGTTTGAGCTTTAGCCTCCTTGACCCGATCGGCTCCCATGTGCATCATCTTGAGCGTTTCCCATGCTTCTTTAGCTGTGTCCTTCTCAGCTAACATCAGAAGTACGTCCTCTGGAATTGCTTGATAAATAGCCGCAAGAGCCATCCGATCTTTACGTTCGTCCGTTTCTGCATTTTTAATTACATCCCATACTCCTTGTGCTTGTAAATTCACTCGCATTTTTATGGCCCACACCGCGTAGTTCATCTTCGTGAGCATTGGATAGTGTAACGTAACGCTACCGTCTTTCCCGGTCCTTTGAAAACTTTCAACTCCGGCTTGAGAAGATGACGAGGTTGGTGTAGTCATTCTTGGCATATACTTGGGCATACATGAGTAAGAATATATAGATATATATATATATATATATATATATATATATATATATATATATATATATATATATATATATATATATATATTTTGAAGTATGGGGACCAATATGAACTTTTCAGAAGTTCAGGGGGCAAACAGAACTTTTACAGAAGTAAAACAGGGGCTAAATTGAAATTTTTCTGAAAAACGGGACCAAAATTGCAATTTTTCTGAAAAACAGGGGCCAAATTGCACTTTCCGGAAGAACAGGGGCTAAACTGCAATTTCCAGAACTTTGGTCAGCTGCTGACGTCACTGCTGATGTCACTGCTACAGTGCTGCTACAGTACCTGCTACAGTGTCGTCTTCTCCGGCGAACCCTGGTTTTTCCGGCGACTTTTCCGGCAGATTTGACCAACTTTGACCGGTGATTTGGAGGCCTTCCGGTGGTCAAAAAATTTAAAAAAAAATATATTTTCGGAATCCTCAGAACGAGACCTTTCTAACGGTGTACTCCGAAATTGTTTTTGAGACAAAAAAATTTCGACCAAAAAACAAAGAATGCTTCCCCCGGAGCTTAACCAAGCTCTGATACCACTTGTTGGGGTTGAAACACACTTTTATTCAGAACTAGAACAAAAGAGAAGAGCTTACACACTCAATATTACAAGAAAAAGAAACAACCCTCTAATACTCACTCTAAGTATTACACACTACACTCTCTGTTTGTGGTATCTTATAACTGATATTACAACTTCTATTTATACTAAAGCTAGCCACTATAAGTACTGTGACAATTTATTGTGTTCACCGTGTGAAATAAAGAAGCTGTCAATTCTAGTTGTTATTGTCAACAAAGGAGGCATTCATTTGTCAACAAAAGAGGGTGGTGCAGCTACTCATGGCAGGTTCACACCTAAGTAGGTTTACACTCACATAGCTTAGATCCAACATCTCGAAGTTCTCTAAAGCAGCAAATTCTGAAATTCATTTGAAAAGTATCTTTAAAACAAGAATTTGTGCATGATATGATGATAACCTAAATAAAGAAAAACGAATAAGACGCAAACCTACCAATGGTAGAGAAGTATCCATTGAAGCTAGTGTGGCTAAGATCCAAGATTTTGAGTGAAGTGAGTGTCCTCAATGATGGAATGATGTCGTTATCGATATCATGATTCCCACTAAGGTCTAGTACCTCCAACTTCTTCAAACTCGACAACCTTTCAAGTCCGCCAAAAGAGAAATTTTTTAACACATGCATCCTAGTCTTTTGATATTGAAAGGACAACCTTTTGAGCAACATCGATAAATACTAAAAAGTTGTAGCATGAATTGCAGGATATGAAGTACACATAAAAACTTGTGTTCAGTCTTTTATAAATAGAAAAATATTATCCAGCTACTAAGTTACCTAAGAAGCGTCTTTGAGTGTACATAAATTAGTTGGATGTTGTGTTCATAAATTAGTGCTCACTCGAATAAATATGGCATTGGAACCAGGTGAAAGAAATACTAAAGCAATTAATCGCGTTGTACCTTTCTTCATAATCTCTTTATCAAGAAAATCAAATGACAAATTGAGACTTGTCAACTCTTTAAAATGAAGAAACAAGGAAACATTCAATGGCCACAACTTGCTCTCATCATCCATGTAGACGTCTTTCACCCCTCTTAAGTTGTACAAAGAGAGTTCTGTCACATGCCCCGTTGTTGTGCTGCAGTTGATCGTCTCCCAATCACAACAGTTGTTGCCACCATCCCCAGGTGTACTACTGCCATAATCAACACAGGTAGGGAGAAAATGGTCAATTTCAGAATCATAAGACTTCATATGGGAGGCTTTGATTTCCAGTAGTACCTTTCTCTCCTCTTCTACACAATCCCCTTGTGTATGCCCAGCTACTAGAATATGTATCATCATCAACATCAACAATGAATATTGCAATGATTTACGCTTACTACAAGCCCAACATTCCATTTTAGTAGCTAATGGTGGCTTTGTAGAGACACTCACAATATTAAACTTCCTGTTAGGTTTAGTTTGCTTAGCTTTGCTTGGAAAACATTTGATAAATAATGAAATGAATATGTATGAATATTAATTGCATAATTCTCCGCCAGCCATCAAGTTAATGGTCAATTATCACACATAAGTCATCAAGTCCATGGTAAAAATTCAACACAAAACTCTATTCCATCTATTCCATTGTCACCCACTCCTTTAACTAAACATTTAAGACATGGCATTTGTTGACTTTTTAAAGGCATTTTTGAATTTTTAGACTATTTTGAATTTCTTTTACAACCTTTTTAAACTTGTATTATAATCTCTTTTTAAATTTTTCTTTACACTTCTATGTAACGTTTTATAGTCTTTATTGTCTTTTAAACTTGAACTACAATTTTTAAAAATATCTTTCTTATACATTTGTACAATTATTTCGACCTTTTTCACTCACAATTTTTGCTGTTTAACGTATTTTTTTTTATTACACTTTGTTAAAAAAATGTTTTAAACAAGTTTTTAAAAAAAGAACAATAAAAAAAAGTTTTAAACAAAATTTTTACAAAAGAAAATTTGTAAATTTGTAAAATAATTGTTATAGAATGCAACAAGTTCAAGCATTAGTGTAACATCCCAAAAATTCATAGTATTTTTTTTGTTTGTTTTTAAAAAGATAAACCATACAAACAAGTTGTTCCAACACCAATCAAAGTGAATATATTATTTAAACATCAGAGTAAAAAATCACAAATAGTCACTGCGAAAACTCTAGGGATGATGTAAAGTCAAACCGGACATTTCTCTTTCGTACCGAAAGTACCTGAAACCATAAACATAAAACCGTAAGCACAAAGCTTAGTGAGTTCCCCAAAATACCACATGATATACATATAATAGAGATTGATATGTGTCATCCATAGTCTCATAATTGCCATTATGCCATGAGTCGTAACATGGTCTTTCCTTGCCAAGCCGGGGCAAAAACCCAAGTCTTACATGCAAGTGCCAAGAGCCATATCTTGGTCTTCCATGCATGTATCACAAAGACAACTAGCATACTACATATAACTGCCAGAAGTCCAAATCCTGGTCTTGCATACAATTTGTCGGGAGCCACCTCCAAGTCTTTCATACAATTTCTAGGGGCCACCCCTGGTCTTCCTATGTAACATATACCAATGGGTCGGCAATGGTGCCTTTGACCCCCAAGTACAGTGAGGAGACTCACCTGAACCACAAAGCCGACTAAAAACCCAGCTCAATGTCGCATCGACCGCAGCTAACAACTCTCACCGCCAAAAGATGGGTGTTAAACACCTCCTATCAATCCACACATGGTAAACCATAAGTTTACCTTCTAAAAATAGAAATTTAACCAAAACTCAACCCATGCCAAAAGTCAGTGACTAATGTTGACTTTAGTCAACTGCCACGTCGTGGCCTTCCTTGGCCACGTTGTGGCCTCCCTTGGCCACGTTGTGGCCTCATGTGATCAAACATATGGGAAGTGCTCAGTTGCCACGCCATGGAGACCTATGACCACGCCGTAGGATCTGAGATTCCAACAACTTGATGAATTAAGTTGTTTTCTACGATTCCAAGAGCTCCAAAGCTCATATCTGGTCCATACTATGGTCTAAATGGATAAACTTTCCAACTTTATAAATTTGTAAAATAATTGCTATAGAATGCAACAAGTTCAAGCATTAGTGTAACATCCCAAAAATTCATAGTATTTTTTTTGTTTTTAAAAAGATAAACCATCCAAACGAGTTGTTCCAAGACCGATCAAAGTGAATATATTATTTAAACATCAGAGTAAAAATCACAAATAGTCACTGTGAAAACTCTAGGGATGATGTGCAGTCACGCCGGACCTTTCCCTTTCGTACCGGAAGTACCTGAAACCATAAACATAAAACCATAAGCACAAAGCTTAGTGAGTTCCCCAAACTACCACATACCATACATACAATAGAGATTGCTATGTGTTATCCATAGTCTCACAATTCCCATTATGCCATGAACCGTCACATGGTTTTTCCTTGCCAAGCCGGGGCAAAAATCCGAGTCTTACAAACAAGTGCCAAGAGCCACATCTTGATCTTCCATGCATGTATCTATAACACCCCGTTTATTTAATAAATATCGCTACTGCTGCCTTCGTGAGTCTCAGCCACTTTTCTGTTCGATTGCCTCACGCCACCACGCGGGGGGGGGGGGGGGTGGCCGAGAGTGGTGCGTTGTTAGCGATGCATATACATATTCTGATGTTATGTGCGTGTTTAATTCCGATAGAGTGTTGTACATGGTGTTTGATGGCAGAAAAACTGAGAAGATGACTACCATGGCCGCCAGCCATGGTGGTTGCCACCATGTACTACCGTGTGTGTGTGTATTTTAGTGAGTGTGTGTGTGCCCACTTGGTATTTTTCATTGTAATATTGTAACCGGTGCCAGAATAATAATAAGAAAACTCGAAACCACCACCATGAAGTGGTGGCTGCCGCCTCCTGCCGCCACCAACCGTCGTGTTGGGTGGCAGTGTGCTTTTGCTTGCGTGTAGTTGATTTTTTGGATGCTTGGACAAAATGGACTAGAAACCCTAACCACCACCGTGAGGTGGTGGCCGCCGTCGTAAGCCGCCATTGACCACCACTACCCGAGGTGTTAGTGGGTGGTGCCCGACTAGCGAAACCCTAATGGGACTAATGAAACCCTAATGGGCCTAATGAACCCTAATTGATCAAAAGACCTAGTTATTGAGCCTATTAGACTATGATTGGTTTGGAAACCCTAATTAGGGTTTAGAAAACCCTAATTTTGGATATATGGGCCTTGGACTTATCGGGACCCACATTTGGGCCATTAGAATAGAATTATGAATTACACCCAATCACACCATATGACTTATCTAGTAGAGTGATGGACTTAATGGATTAAGTCCTTAATGGGTTAAGTGAGAAACACTTAACCTTAATTGTCATTTTATGTGAAACCCTAACTTTAGGAATTTAATCGGGACCCACACTTGAATTATTCACTAAACTTAATATATTAATTAATAATCATTTACAATCAACCTAAGTCAATATTGGACTTAATGGATTAAGTCCTTAATGGGTTAAGTAGGAAAACTTAACCCTAATCATCATTTTATGTGAAAACCCTAATTTCACTTATGCCTTGAGTTGGGCCTTTCCATTGGGCTTTGGTAATTGGATTATTAATGGGCCATCCCAAAAATAATCATATGGACTAGATTATGTTGATGGGCTTTAGAGTAATGCCTATATGAAGGTTTGGGCCCAATTTGGAAAATTGGGCCATAAATGGGCCATAGTTTGGGCCTTTATGATTATGAGATATTGGACCATTAGAAATGTCAAATGTTTGGACTGGACTAAATGGTTGGGCCTTTGAATAAGACCATGTAAAGGTTTGGGCCCAATTTGGAAAATTGGGCCATATGTTGGGCTTTGATTCCTAGTTTGGCTTTTGGGCCTTTGGATTGGGCCTTGGGCTTGAATCAAGCCAAGATGGGTCAATGTAGCCTGTTACTCCAAGAACTTATGGTTATGTGTTGGGACCCAATTATTAATTGGGTAATGTTTTGATATTGACAGTTCGGGAATCTGTCATCCAGCAGCTGGGATTGTGTCTACGGGACTTCAGTAGTGTGAGGTGAGTTACCTTCCAGTAGAGGTGGGTCTACGGCACCAATACCGGCCCACCAGTAGGTGATTATGTATGAGATAACTGTCTTTGTGATAATTGTCTGGTTTGCAACTATCTGATATGCTCTATGTGCTAGGATGCTCTGATATATGTATTAGTAGTAGTGGGTGGAATAGTCCCCAGATGCCGGTTGAAAGATACCGAAGGGGTAGTCAGTACCCATGCATGCCTAGCAGTATGTTCATGATATGATGTTATGTGATAGTGGTAGTAGGGGGAATAGTCCCCATATCTGGTCGATAGGGCCAAGGGGTAGGCCAGACACGCCGGTGTTGTCTGACAATATGATTATGTTATGTTTCTATGTGGTAGTAGTAGGGGGTGAAATAGTCCCCGTAACCGGTTGAGATAAACTGGAGGGGTAGGTCGGACACCCCGGTATGTATGACAGGGGTATAAGTCATTACAAACTTTGTTTTCAAAATGTATAATATCAGAGTTTTCCTAGAAACATAAACAAAACAGGAGGAGCTGTACGATCACGCCTTTGCCTTGCCGCGATCCCCTGATGTACCTGAAACAATAAACTGAAAACTGTAAGACCGAAAGCTTAGTGAGTTCCCCCAAAATACCGATACACTGCAGATAAATACATATACAAATAACACCATGTACTGGTCCATAGCTTTACAGTCTGATTACCCCTGGGCCCACAGTGTGAGTTTGGATTGCCTTCCGGGCCCACAGCTCACATCTGGATTGCCATCGAGCCCACAGTACGAGTCTCCCTCAGCTCGTATCTGGAATGCTCCCAGGTTTGTTGGTTACCGCACGGAGCAGTATCACCTCAACCCATCCCACACAATATGTCGACATATAACACAACTAATGCACATACAGATAATCACATAATACTACAGGTAGTCCTACAGATCTACCTAACTGGCATAACAACTAACATACAACACTAACTCATACTCAACATAATACCAACTGCTTGGTTATCATATCCAATGGGCCGGCCTTGGTGCCTTAGACCCTTTAGTATAGTGAGGATAACTCACCTCACAACTGTCGACTCGAAAGATAAGCTCAAACTCTCGGATCACCGCCACAAACTCCACCACCTATATTCACCATAGAACCATACCCATAAGTTTCTAATTTCCCAAAATGCCCCAGAAGTCAAATAGTCAACCCTTGGTCAAAGTCAAAGTCAACAATCCATGTTGACCTGACTCGTC